CTTGGGATCTTGTTATGATATCATGCCTCATATACTTTCATCTACAAATGATCGTATTAGCTGGCTCTCTGCTCCCTACAGAACCTAGGCTTGTATTGGGAAGGAAATTGAAAAAATCAGGATCTTATTAGTCTTGTAAGTGTTCAGTCTTTCCATTCTCATGGGTTTGGCCAGGATTCTCTCTCCATCTCATTTGTCAGACAGAATGGCATTAAGAACGCTCAGTCCACACACTATCTCAAAGGAGACTTACAGCCTTCTTTATACTTAGATTGAATTTTCTAGACTCTAAGGTTAAACAGGCAAAAGAACTGCTGTTTTAGCAATTAAAGTGAAGTTCCACCTGAAGGACTAGTTCAGTGGAGGTGCCCCCTCTGAGGGCACAAACAAGGGTGCAAGGGGCAAGGTCTCTGCATTAGTGAGCTGGGACCACATGGTCCAATCATCCCAGCTGCTAAGTAGATTGATTTTTCTGCCTGGCTACATGGTGTACTTTAGTGGACTGTTTTTCTCCTTTACTTTTGGGAAGATGATCCTAATTTAAGCAGCTGAGTCTAAGTTTTCAGGATTAAAAACAGCAACACAGGAATTCTCAAGTCACTTCTTAAAGTGATGTCTGGGATTTGCTTTAAAATTATCTAGGGGGAGGGAGGAAGTGGAACAAAGGAATAGACAAAACAGCATTGGTCATGAATTGATAACTGTTTAAACTAGGTGATGAGTCAACTCTCTCTATATCTGTATATGTTCGAAATTTTCTATTATAAGACCTAAAAAAAAAAAAAAAAGAGGTAGGGAGCCAATGATCCAGAAACTTGCTAGTTATTACTTTTGACCTTTAGCTTCACCTAACTCTTTTAAAAAATTGCTAACAAGGAATTCCATCTAACATCATTTTCTCTCTCCAGATCTGCCCATCTTCTAGCAGCAGAACGGCCGGCGGACAGATGTGAGGAGGGAGGATTTAATGAAGAGGGAGGTGCGCCCACCAGCCCTTACAGAATGCATCGTTAACTGTACACATCGACGGGTTTCATGTTCTGTTGGTGCCCGAGCATGGAAATTGGTATCCCTACATCTAACAGGAAAGCGCCGAGTATTGGAATGCCAAACTTTACGGTGTTTCTTCTTGGGTTGATACATTTTCCTTAGTTCTTGTGGTTGGAATGAGAATGGAGATCAAAAACAATAAACACCACAACCATGGAGGCAGTCGTGGTTTATAAAGGACGTGGAGAGAATCATCTGTTCTTCAGTCGTGCACGTCTCTTCTTCCCCCTCACAACCCTGGGTATCAAGGTTCTTGGAGGAGGAGAGCTTCATGAGTGGAAGAACTCAGGGATCGACGTTTGCAAAGGCTTTCAATACTATGCTGAGGCCAGCATTCCAAGGCTAAGCTACCCTTCGTAATGAAACTATCATAAATGTACCTACCAACTCTCAAACAACGAAAATCCTGAACGTAACTCCAATCGTGAGCCACTGTTCTGAACAGTCAGTTTCTTCTATGAATTCAAGCATATGAAATTTGATAACGAACCAAACATCTTAAGAATCTATACCCATTGCTGTTGAGTGAATTCCGACTCATAGCGACTCTATAGGACAGAGTAGAGCTACCCCATGTTGTTGCCAAGGATGTAAATCTTTACAGAAGCAGACTGCCACATCTTTCTCCCGAGGAGCAGCTGGTGGGTTTGAACTGCCAACCTTTCAGTTAGCAGCTGAGTGCTTAATCACCGTGCTACAAGGCTCCTGTTAAGAATCCATAAATATGGGAATTTTAAGGCTGGATGTAAATCCTTCCAGAGAGCATGATAAATCATACCTTAAAACATAATCCATGAGCTGATCTTGTACATACAAAATAAGAGTTCCTTCTAAAACAGGAATCAGAAGAGAGTTGGCATTTTTTTCTGTCCCTGATATCAGTTAACTCAGGTGAAAGAGGATTTCTTGGCACAAAGCAGCTTGACTCTATTCCACCTGAAGTGATGAAGTGAGAAGGTAAAAAAGAGATATATTTGGGGATAGGCTAATTGAGCAAGTTGCATACTCAGAAGAAAAAGAAAAATATACAGAGGATTTTTGCAGAAGAACTGTAAACCAAGAATTCTGTAACAGATTTCTGAACACTATACAGTATGCTAGCAGCTTGCAGGAAGCATCTCTTCCTTTGCTTTGGACAAAAGATATGATTTGGATTTCTTCTTACTCATAATCTCCTAGCAAGAAGAGAATTTAAGGATTGCTTCATTTTTGCCACATGGTTAAAAAAATAAATAAATAAAAATCTCTTCTATCCTATCATCATGCTGTAGCTCTAGCCACGGCAATATAAGGCATATTTCACTTGTTTATAGCTAGTTCAAGCCTCTTCTGATCTCTTCCCTGAGAATGCCTACAAAACATAAAGTAACGTGGTCTGGCAGCCTACCTTTCTGGATATAAATATTATCACGTAATACTAAAAAGCCAGCAGAAACCCTCCATAGGAGAAGCTGCTGGGGCTGCCCAGACACCCTCTACTGCACTAATGCAGCCACCCCGAGTTACTGTGAGCACTGGCTGCCAACAGTTGGTGAGAAATGCCCCCACCAACTGCAGTCCCCTACCTGGGAGGTCATACATCTCCTGCTGGGGGTGATCTGCACCCAGTGACTGATACGGGAGTACAAAAAGCTGGCACCCTTGCCTCAAGGGAAGGATCTACTCTGTGGTGCAGTCTATGCTCTGGAGCTCCCCGTGGGATCGGGCTGAACCTAGATCCAGCTAAAACCATACCCTTGCCAGTTCCTTCTCTCTCCCTCTACTGCCTCCATCAGGAGTCCCTGGGTGGTGCAAATAGTTAAGTCTGGGCTACTAACCGAAAGGTGATGGTTCAAACCCACCCAGAGGTGCCTTGGAAGAAAGGCCTGGCAATCTAATTCTGAAAGGTCACAGCAGTGAAAACCCTATGGAGCACAGTTCTACTCTAACACACATGTGGTCACCACGAATCAGAATCAACTCAACTAGTTTGGTTTTTTTACTACCTCCATCACCTCCCTGCAGGCTTGGGAACACTCCCTCAATAAAGCACTTCCACACACATGCCCACCTCAGCCTCTGCTTCTAGGGAACCAGGCCTATGACACTTCTGAATCCTATGGAAGCAAATGAAAATCCACATTTATTATTTTTAGTCTGATGCTCTTAAATGTCTACCAATTTGGCCAATTTCATCAGTGGACCCATGGGCACAAGCATATTTACTGAACAGCCTTAGGATTTACATGTAGAAGGGAGTGAGCTACAATTCATGACGGCTTATAGCTCCTACTTGGGTATCCAACTTAATAGTCAAAATAGCTTTCTACCCACCAGACCCACTTTCCAATTCATTTCACAGACCATCTATACAAGACTTGTTTCCATCAATAACACCTGTGAAACCTGGAATCTGTGTAAGGTGGAAACCTGTCAGAGAAGAAAAACTCAAATATTGTCCACTAAGATGAGTGATAGAAAAGTGGTAAGACTGCACCCTGTCAAAGGCAGAAAACTTGTAAGATCCGGAAAAACAAGGCAGTCTTATCGAGTCCTGGCTCTCACAGGTTTCACCGTATCTGAAGACGAGGCTAAGCTCACTCTCTGTTCTATTAGAGTGGGGTTCCCTTCCCTAATACTATGGAAATCCTATGTGAGGCAAGCTGGATCTGTTTTAATTACTGTTTGACATTTGATATTCCTAAATTCCAATTAATAGAATTAAAAAAAAATTAAACCTGGGTTCAGGCTCAAATGAGGATTAGCTGCTCCGAGGTCAATTCACAACGTATCGAGAAAAGCATCATTTATCTTTTGTTGCAAGAATGAAAAACACAAAACCAATCAACCACTCCCATCAGGAAGAATGTCTCTGTTTGATCAGGAAAGCAAAGTTCCTTGACTCAGACACTTGGTAGCTCACAGCTAGCTCTTCTGGCTCCTAGGTGCTCATCCTGCAAAGTGATCTCACATCTTGTGGAGGGTGGGCTGAGGGTAGAGGATGGTCCTTCAAAGGTGATGGCTGCATCTCCCCTGGGCTTCCTTTCTGCAGTGGTGGGGTGTTCACTCTTGGCTCTTTTTCAGGTTTGGGTGGCCTTCCAGGCTAGATGTGAGCAGCACAGGTGGGTCCATCTCCCTTCGTAATGACCGATTAATGGGCAATCCACCTTGGCTGACCTCCTCGAACTGCCTTTGGCAAATAGAAAACTCCCTTGCCAACAGTTAATGATATTGATTTTCTGGCAATTTTTTAAAGCATTATCTTTCTTCTGCTTTTTTTTGTTATTGCTCTCCTAACCATGTTGTGGAAACCCTGGTGGCAGAGTGGTTAAGAGTTCGGCTGCTAACCACAGGTTGGTAGTTCGAATCCACAGGCATTCCTTAGAAACCCTATGGGGCAGTTCAACTCGGTCCTATAGGATTGCTATGAGTCGGAATAGACCCGACCGCAACGGGTTTGGGTTTTTTTGGTTAACCATGCTGTGAGGTGAAAAGGTGGGACATCCTTAGTGCCAAATGATCAGCCCATGGCCACATAGTTAGTTAGGAGTGCACCTGCTAACCCTGGTTTACTGACTGGGTGGGGCTTTCCTGAGATACGAACCCAGATCCCAACCACAGCAGTGCCACCTACTTAAACTCCTAGGTCAAGACACTCTACAAAGAGGATAGTAATAATAATGTCTACTTCAAAGAATATCGTAAAGAATGCAAAACAATAACATATGGAAAATTCTCCATCAAAAGGACACCTATTAGATGTTTAATTAGTATTTACGGTCTTCCCTCTTGGCGTCCTTGCTTTCTGTATTGTTTCCATCAACCAAAGTTCTAGTACATAGTGGTGGTGAGGGGCACGACCCCTTTGAACCCAGTGTGAGGACACAGTTTCAGAACAATTTTCGACACGTGATGTGGGCCTGATGGCCCACACAGGGCGTGACCTGAGGGGGGCCCCCCAGATAGCCTACCTGGTGGTGGTCCGGATGGTGTTTTCTTTTGTGTGATTGTGCTCTTTGCTCACTTTTTCTGCAGCAAGAAAGAATAAAACATACACATTTTAGGCAGTGAAGGCATAAGCAGAAACACCAGCTAATACTTCTCTTGTGGGCTGAGGAAAGTCAATTTTGGGGCCTGAGTGGTAAAAAAAAATCACTAACAGCAGGTAGACAGCATCCACAAAAAAAATATTTTATTACAAACCAATCAAAGGGAAATGGTTAATTACAAACGTCAAGCGTGTTGTCCGATTTTAATCAGGACTTAGTAAGTACGCGTACACACACACACAGAGCTATGTGCCCAAAGACAGCTATTTCTACTCTATCTTTCCCTAGCTGAAAATTTCTGCTTTCCTCTGATTCAGCATGAAAACTGAAGTTGTTGCAACTGTTCTGCTTCTGACTTTGATGACAACCTTTAAGTATTCTGTATTGTTAGGCCCCTTGGTGAGAGGAGACATAAAACGGCCGTAAGACCTCTTGGTATGGCAGTCTCTGAGTGCTTATTCTGATAAATGTCACCAGGGACAAAAAATATCATTAGACAAGAAGAGGTAAACCCTCCCCTTACTCTGTCTTGAGGACTGTGTCTACCAGCTGTCAGAAATTATTTAATTAGCTTTTAAGGACACAAAAGTTTAACTCTGGCCTTCCCAATCCAGTTCAAATGCTAGGGCCTAGCCCTGACCATCTCAGCTCTCAATGGCTTCTTTTAAGTATCTATAGAAAACCTGGCCGACTCATTGAGGGTTTCACGTTTCAACTGCAGCACAAGTAAAAAGCTCCCAATCTTGAGGATTTTTGGAAAGATTTAAACAAAGAGTTACAACATCTGCCCCACGCTCTGTAACACTAGTTTGCACCGCTGTATGTATGCTTGTGCATACAATCCCCTTCTGTCGGCTCAACAACGACAATGAGGGTAGATTTGGATTCACAGCCAGTGTTCTCTCAGAGAGCAGGAATTCCAGGCTCAGTGACCTGCCTGAGGTGACCCAGGTAGTTAGTGACAGTGCCAGGGTGAGAACGCTCAGACACACAGTTTTTAGCTGATGGGAGATCGTACCGCTAGAGACCAGGACTGAAACGAACCCCAGTGGACTTGCTTTTGCAAATCTTAACATTTAAATAAGTTACATTGTTTTTAGATATGCTTTCAGTCTGTTTTTATTTAACAAAACAAAACAAAAAAACCCATCTTGCATGTTTTGGAGCTTGCAAAGATCTATGTGTCCTATTAATTACTGACTTAACTCTTTCCACTACTGCACTGCTCTGCACAAGCACAGCTCTTGTTTGCAAACACTGACAGCAGCTGCCGTGTCTAACACCATCTGATAGTTACACGGCTATGGTGTGTGCTGCCAGGCCAACGAGAAGGTGAACTATAATAACGGCACACAGATTCCAGCTTCTTCTTTTCTCTTTCCTGGCATTTTTCTTAGGAGTGGGGGAGGGGAGGACAAGTGAACATTTAAATAATAAGGCATTTGATGGGTGTTCAAAATTTATTATCTGTAACAAAACGGAGTTGATCAAACAATAGTAATAAGCTTTACTGATGCATGAACTCCAATATGTAGACCAATGCTTGACTATGGACGAGGGATATGTATTTTTATCTACAACTGAATTGTGTATGTGACTGTATCATCAGTCTCAATCAGATTCAAAGAATAGCAGCATATTAAATGTGTTAGGAACAAACAATTTATGGCTTGAAAGAGTTAACAAAAGGACTAGCTTAGGTATTAGGACCCTCGACTTTTCTAGCAAGACACTTAGCTAGTGATTACTGAACTTTTCGAACTCCAAGTATTCAAAGTAGAAAAAGTTGGTTCACAGAAAATGTTCTACTAGGCTATAGCTGGCAATATTCCTCATACTTTAGTCTTTTGCTTTTCCTTGTTTTCTTTTTTTCCTTTTTTCCTAGCAAGATACAGTAAAATCTCATTAATTCAGACCACAACTAATTTGGAATTCATGGTAATTCACTCACTGTTGGAGTAAACTGAAGTTTATCTTTTGCACATTAGGAAAAAAAAAAGATCGTTAATCAGATCAACTGCCTAAACAAAATTAGAGGTGAGATGTTAAGCCCATTCAACAGGGATCATTTGCACAGAATTGAATAGAGTTCTCATTTCAAATGATTCTTAACTATTTATTAAAGTTTGGCAGGGACTCTACTGGCAACACTTTATTAACTGTTAGTTCGGGTAGCAGTATGCATTTTAAAGTGACAAGATTGATTTCTGTCTAAAAAATCCGATAATGTAGTTTTGTTTTTTTTTTGCTTTGTCAGAATGGCTTTCCTTCCAATTGCTTCCAATTACTGCAATTTTCTGCACATAAGCTTACCTGACAGTTGAAAGAGAAGCTCGGAAGCCATCTTCACAGATATGTCCTGACTGAAGAGGTTTCTCTCTGGGGGTACTCGGCCCTCTGGCATCTTCTGTAAGGGCTCGGTCTTCTCCCGCCCGATTAAAGTGCTATAGCCGACATTCTGGCTGGGTGATATTGAGACGTGCGGGTCCTGGATGTCAACCTCCATGGGCTCCTCTTTAATCTTCACCATCGGGGTTTCCTTGTAGCTTTCCGCTGCACACGGGTGAAGTAAGAGGAACAAAAACACCACACTTTCTTAATTCTGAACCAAACCCAGCTTCTAATCACAGAAACAACTATGAGGATTGTGTCCGGAAGCAGTTTTCGAAAAGAGCACCTTGCCACATGGAACACAGTTTGAAAAACTACTAATCTAACCGATTTAATTTCCTGAAAATAAAGGAAACTAAACCTAAGGCGGTGGGGGGAGTTAAGAAATTAAGTGACTTACTCAAGGTACAAACGACTAACGTGCTTGGCTGCTAGCTAGAAGGTTAGAAGTTCAAGTCCACCCAGAGGTAACTCAGAAGAAAGGCCTGGCAATCTACCCTCAAAAAATCAGCCACTGGAAACCCTATGGAGCACAGGTCCACTGAGTCAGCTTGACAGCAAACTTTTTTAAGTGCTGAACCAGGCAAAACCTCGGGCATGCAGATCTAGAACTCAGGTTTCTTGACCAGTGTCTGCTGACCACTCCTTCTTCTACCACATTACTTCTAGAACTAACACCAGTTCCAGTTGCCATCCAGTCCATTCCAACTCATGGCGACCACATGTGTCAGACTACAACTCTGCTCCATAGAGTTTTCAATGACTGCTATTTTGAAAGTAGATCTCCAGGTCTTTCTTCTGAGGTACCTCTGGATGTACTCAAACCTCCAGCCTTTTGGTTAGCACAGGACATGATAAATCTCTGTCCTCGTTTTTTAACTTACTCAATTTCGGTGAACCAAGTAAGAGCAAGCATACTAATGATTAATATTTTCTCCATCTATTTTTAAAGCTCTGATCAATTTTTTTTCTCTCTTCTAGGGCATCTAAATTAAAAAAGGGTAAATAGGGTCAGTTTAACTGAGACCTTCACACCTTGCTGGGAGCTAGTAATACTCAAGACCACCTAGGAAGCAAAATTAATTGTAGACGAAGGATTAACAGCTAGAAAAACCAGCAATCATACAGGTTATAATAACGATTCAATTACTGACTGTTCTTCCTTCAGGTGTGACTTAGATGTCTGATCTCTAGTCTGAAACATACATTTACTTGGCAAGGCTGGCACGTCTTTATGTCCACACGTTCCTCAGAGTTAAATGACAGAACATCTTTGCAACAAGGTGGGACAATTAGCCCAGCCATTAATTTGGACTGTTTTAAAGTAAGGCCACACTTTCAAATCAATAAGCATTTATGGGTGACAGTGCTATGTACTCAGCACTCCAGAAGACAAAAAACAAAGAGGACTCCTCCAGACAGATAAAATCAGTTGCTGTCAAGTCAATTTCAGCTCATGGTGACCCCGTGTGTGTCAGAGTAGAACTGTGCTCCACAGGGTTTTCAATGGCTGATTTTTCAGAAGTAGATTACCAGGCCTTTGTTCCTAAGCACCTCTGGGTGGACTCAAACTTCCAATCTTTCAGTTAGCAGTGGAACTATTTGTACCACCCAGGGACTCCTCTAGAGAGATAGATAGGTAAGTAGGGAGATAGACAGGTAGATATAGTGGGTTGAATGAGGGCCTCCAAAAAATATATGTCCACATCCTAACCACTGGAACCTTACTTGGAAAAAGGGTCTTTGTAGATGTAATTAAATTAAGGATCTCAAGCTAAGATCATCCTGGATTACGTAGGTAAGCCTTAAATCCAATAAAAAGTGTCTTTATAAAAGACAGACGAGAAGAAGATACAGACGAAGTGGAGAAGGCCATGTGAAAACAGGCAGAGACTGGAGTTATGCACTAATGAGCCAGGCCTCCAAAACGTGGGAGAGGCAAGGAAGGATTCTCCCCTGGAGACTTTCGAGGCAGCATGGCTCTCCTGGCACCTTCATTCTGGAGTTCTGCCCCACAGAATCATGAGAGAACAATTTCTGTTGTCTGAAAAAAACAAGTTTATGGTATCTTGTTATAGTAGACCTAGGAAACTGATAGATTAGATAGATGACTGATAGATAGAAAGATAGATAGACAGACAGATAGAACAATAAGAACCTGTATAAAGCAGATGTTGATCTGTGGGACAGTCAGAAATTCTGAAAGGTGAAACCTCACTGCTGTAAGCTGGGTGGTCAGAGACAACTACACTTTTCCTTGCAAAGTATGAGACTGCTGTTGTTGTGTGCTGTCGAGCTGATTTTAACTCACAGTGACCTTACAGGACAGAGAAGAACTGCCCCCCAGAGGGTTTCCCAGGCTGTAATCTTTCCAGGAAAAGATCGTCAGGTCTTTTCCACCATGAAGCAGCTGGTGGGTTCAAACCACCAACCTTTCAGTTAGCAGCCAAGTGCTAAAACGCTGCACCACCAGGGCTCCTTAGTATGAGACTAAAATTAAAAAAAAAAAAAAAACCAAACCCATTGCCACTGAGTCAGTTCTGACTCACAGGGATCACACAGAGTAGAAATGCCCCATAGAGTTTCCAAGGATCAGGTGGTGGATTCAAACTGCTGACCTTCGGTTAGTAGCCAAGCTCTTAACTACTGCACCAACCACCAGGGCTCCTTAGTATGAGACTTAAAAAAAAAAAACAAACAAACCAAACCCGTTGCCATCAAGTCGATTCCAACTCACAGTGACCCTACAAGACACAGTAGAACTGCCCCACAGGGTCTGCAAGGAGTGGCTGGTAGATTCTAACTGCAGACCTTCTGGTTAGCAGCCAAGCTCTTCAACCACTGCGAGACTAGTTAAAGTCAAATACATATACAGTTTATAGACTAACAGTAAAGAAGGTAGAGGAGCATTTTAATTAAATGATTAAAATTTACAAAGTGCTGTAAATAAGATCTTAGGTAAGAAACATGCTAATTGTTCTTTTTCTTGACATATTACACATGCTTTTGAGGGAAAACTGCTTTTCATCAGCAACTAAACTGCAGGCAACTGTTGCATCTCACTTAGATCCCGCTATTCCGTTCCCACCAAGCTGTTCTTTCTCTGCTCATCTCTGAAGCAGCTCACACAGATTAAGTTCACTGACTCAGCCACAGTGAAAACACAAAACAAAAGACACCTAAGAAGAATAAAAAGCTTTCCAAGTTACGTGCTTAGCTTCTTTGCCTTTACTTGCAGTCCATCTGATTCTTTCCTGAGCACCGTCCCCCCACCTAGGGACTTTCAGGTGACCTGCCAGACACCCTGACCTCCAGCTAGATCACCTACAGGTACAGTCACAACGCATATTTTCCCTCTTCATGTTCTCCTAAAGTACTTCGTATTTGGAAAACAAACAGTGGTCAATGTCATAGGTACACAACGATGCCTCTGAGCCGTACACTGGCAAATCATTCCATAGCCTGAGGACAAACACAAAGGAATACTAAAAAGGGGCTCATTTAGTTAAAAAAAGAAAAAAAAAATCTCATCAACATAAAAAACAAAGCTAGAAAGAAGCTCCGTTATTTATCTTTTTTCCTCCCCCACTGCCCTAGCCTTGCCCCAGGATTAAAAACCACCTGGTTATTTGCACCACTGAATTGAATGAAATTAGTTTTAAAAAGCTACTTGGGATAATTTCAAGTATGATTTATGACAACTGTTGACCTCTAAAAAACTGTGCAGAACACTGACAAATATCTTTATCATTCTTAATCTACCTGATAAATTCCATGCTTACAGATAAGAGTTTCCAATTTGACATCTCAATGGGCAAATGAGACCTAAAACAATAAGCATGCTTTTTTATAGTCCTTCCTCTTCCAGGCAAATAGTGTTATCACCAAGTGTTTTCTTGTCTTTTTAAAAAAAATAGCAGGGTTCTCAACAACGGCAATATTGACATTTTGAGTGGGCCAGATAATTCTTCGTTGTGGGGACTGTTAAGCAGGATCCCCAGCATTCACCCACCAGATGCCAGCAGCACCTTCCCGTTGTTGTCAGGTGCCATCAGGTCGGTTCCGACTCATACAGACCCCATGTACAACATAACGAAACACTGCCTGGTCCTGCGCCATCCTCACAATCATCGTTCTGCTGGAGCCTACTGTTGCGGCCACTGTGTCAATTCATCTCATTGCATGATGTCCTTCTCCAGGGACCGGTCCCTCCTGGTAACATATTCAAAGAACGTGAGACGAAGTCCTGCCATCCTTGCTTCTAAGAAGCATTCTGGCTGTACTTCTTCCAAGACAGACTTGATCGTTCTTTTGGCAGTCCATGGTATATTCAATATTCTTTGCCAACACCATAATTCAAAGGCTTCAATTCTTCTTCGGTCTTCCTTATTCAGTACCTTCTTGTATGTCCAGAAATGACTCCAAACATTGTCAAATGTCTCCTGGGGGACAAGATCCCCCAGTGGGGAGCCACTTCTTTACTGTCTTTGCCATACTCTTATTTTTACCCAAGGCAAAAAAACAAAACAAAAGCCACTGCCGTGGAGTCAAAGGAAAAAAAGCCTCCTCTTATGTTCTAGCCTAGACTCAACCTGCTACCAGTCACCATCTCAGAGGCCCAGGAAGCAGAAGTCAGGCTGACCTTGGAACACTGGTTTCTGCTGTGTCCCCCACTTGGTCCCCAGGGCAGCTCTCTCCCTCCTGCCTGGGGCATTGGAACACAACAATGGTAGAATTAATCATTTCCACTCACTCTTAGCTTTGACTCCCACACCCAGGGACATATCTACATAACCAGAATTATACTCTTTCCCATAGCCTTCCCCCTACACACAATTTGAATCCTTTTAGAACCACTTCCTAAAATCATAGGACAAATATTCATTTTATCCCAAGTGGTCTACAGTGTTATTCCAAAGAAGACATGGCACCTGGAAGGAAGAGGACAAAATGTTAACAGATTATGGCTGGGAGGTGGGTTGTTGGTGATTGTTTACTGCAATGCTTATTTGTATCTTCCATTTTTTCTATAATGTGAATATTTTGGCAATTATCTAATTTTTTTAAAAATGAAAAACAATTACATGTGCCCATAAAAAGATGACAAAATCCGGTTTGTGAAAGAGTGATGTGGAATGATATTTCCTTGTTGGAAGTGTTTA